AACTTCCAGCCAGGGTATCAAGTGTTGCTACAGAAGTGGAAGAAGGACCCGCTAACAGAGAAGTGGGAAGGGCCGTACATAAGAAAAATACAGCATTGCCTAGCATGGCATTTGGGAGCCTTGCTGTTGGAAGACAAATGGTGGGCAGGATGACAAAGCGTGTGGCAGAGCATGTCCCTGGCTAAATAGCTTCGAAGTGAAGTCATCTCATGAGAGGAGGGAGCCATCAGGCCATCTTTCTGCCTATGCTCAGAACCCCAAGCCATCATCACTGCCTAATTGCCAGGCTTGGACATGCCCAGAACAGGAGCAAGTAGATGGGACTTGGTTCGGAGCTGCAGTCCTGGGCTGGACAGAGGAGCGGTCAAGATGTAAATGTTGTCACAGTTTTTACCAGCCTGACCCTCTGCTGGATTGACTGACCTAAAAATAAAGCCACGTGCATGGCAGCTAGGGGTCACCTCACCTTTACTCTGAGTGGGCGTGACCAGGATTAAAAGATATCCAGATAGACAGAAGGGTGCGCGCGCACACACACACACACACTAACAGGTCTACAGCCATGCAAACAGAGCTGAGAACACAGAAGGTGCTGTTCCCCATTAACAGGCATATGTCTTGTAAAATTTTGACCACTTCAGTGATCGCATCCACTTAGCGGAGAGGAAGTGTGTTTGGTAGAACAATGACCTATAGTAACCAGTTAGAAGTTTACTTCTGTCAAAGTTGAAGTTACAGAAGTAGGAAATACCACTTTACAAGGCTTCCCAGTTTGCCCATCAGTCAGCAGCTCTCTCCTCTAGAAGTGTTGCATCAGTTCCTGAGGAACTACCTTGCTGTGTGCACAGAGACTTCAGGAGCAGTTGCAGTGCCTAGATCCTTTGCTTGCCAGTTGAGGCCTGGCCACATCTGGCTCCCACGGATCACCCTAGTGGCTTTAAGCTCTGCCACGTCTCTATGATGCTGGAGAAAGCTTAGTTAAAAGTTAGCTCCAAGGTGGTGCAAAGGCCTTCAGCAGGGATCAGAATCTAACCTGTGCATTACCTACGTTGTCTAACTGAAGAATAGTTCCTGGATGCAAGTATCTGCTTGTCCAGAACAGCTTTTGAGTGATCTCTGAGGAGGCAAAAGGCTCTGGCCTAGCATCTTTGGAATCAAAGCCAACACTGACTAGTGGTTTATGGGAACTACTGCCTTTTTGGGAACAGCCATGCTGCAGGGCTTTATGCATCTAGGCATGTGTGCGCGCACCTGCATACAAAGACATGTATTTATTTAGTATTAGCACTTTCTAGGACTAGCACATGCAAGCGTTCGCCCTAGAGCACAGGTATCCCATTTAGTTCAGGCAACGTGAAGACTGTACACAGAGAAATGTCAGTGCCGAAAAACAAGGAAGTGCTTCCACAAATGCAAGATTCTGGCCTTCGTAGAAGGCGCGCAGGAGTTCTAAGTGCAATGCAGTTAAAAGTGACTGGAAGCATTTTATCGACTAAAGCAGAGGCCAGTAACTTTTTAAAAGTCCTAGGCCAGAACAACCCAACTCTGGTCTGACGCAGGCAGGGTAGCTCTTACAGTACATCAATGGTGGGGGACTTTCCCCACACCCATACTGGGGCCAGGTAGCTGGGAGCTGTGCCTGCACTACCCCTGCTTCCTGGATGTGATGTGGGCACAGCTTCCAACCCTGAGGAACTGCAATGGGACCAGGCATCTGCAAACTATATTTATGCTGCAGCTCCTCCCCCCACA